TAAAGTTCTTTGACATGAAATGTAGGATCACGTTATCACAATATCCTAAATAAACATAACCTGTATGAAATGAGGATGAAGTGTACCGTTCTTGAAAAAACTAAGGATACAAAAGCCGGCCTTACAAGGTACTACTTCAGATCCAGTCTGATTCCGCACAATTAAAAATGCAAAGGCTCAGCATCTACAAACGAGGTTTTCGGCTCCAAAAAATTTATTATATCTAGGAAAATTTCCTAAAATGCAGAAATTCTGCATCTTACCAAATATTATTATTATTAGCATGGGGAGCTGCATGTTCCTCACATATCTATAATTTAGATGTTTTTCAAAAAAGTATTCTAAAAATGATATTTAAAAAACCGAAACTTTATCCCACTGAAAAATTATACGCAGATGTTCGAATATATGATATAAGACAGCTTTATTTCTTACACAGTATCACTCACTACCATAAATTTGTAAACACCGACCAAAAAATTAAACATAATCATTATACCAGGTACAAAATTCGTGGCACAGTAGTTCCTCAACCGCATAAATCTATACTAAGTGACATATAAATCCGAACACCCAGTTTAAATGGTTTTATTTTAATTAAAGGCGGTGAATGTATTTATCTTACTGTAAATAACAAGTGAAAAAATTTTCAGCCTTATCAGTTGGACATTCCGGTTTTTATACTGCTTTTTTTTAATTCACTAACGCTCTAAAAATGAATATTTCAGCCGCAGTAAAGAATCAACGTTGGCGGATTTTGGTTCTTGACATCCCTTACGATCGGTTACGATGCCTAGAGTACGGAGATCTGTACGATTTCGTCAACTTAGTGAGTTTGATAGGGGCCGTATAGTGGGACTTCGGGAAGCTGGAATTTCTTTTCGGGCAATTGCAGTTAGAGTGCAAAGAAGTGTAGATAGACACTGTGGTTAGGTGTTGTCAGGCATGGCTTCGAGCAGGACGTACGCAAAGAGCAAGGGACACTGGACGCCGCCGTAGAACAACATACCGTGAAGATCGCCGCCTAAGATTATTGGCCTTAAGGGACCGTTTCTCCACTACCAGGTCCATTGCAAATGAATGAGAAGTTTTGGCTTGTTTTCATACCGGCCACACTGGGTCCTCCCTTTAACTCGAGAACACCGACGTAATCGCCTTGAGTGGTGCAGACAACGGTCACTCTGGGATCAGGAATGGAACAGTATTGTCTGTAGGGACGAGTCTCGATTTTGTTTAGGCATGCACGATGGTCGTGCCAGGGTTAGAAGGCGGCGTGGTGAAAGGAGGAATCCACAGTTTTTTGTTGAAAGACATGTTCATCACACTGTTGGAGTTATGGTTTGGGGTGCTATAGCTTATGGTTCCAGGTCACCTTTAATCTTCATCAGAGTTAACATGAACGCGCAGCGTTATATCCACGAAGTTCTAGAACCCCATCTTTTACCCTATCTTGACACCCTGGCAGATCCAACTTTCCAACAAGATAATCCCCGACCACATGTTGCAAGAGTCACAATAGACTTCTTTCAACATAATGATGTCACATTGGTACCATGGCCACCAAGATCTACCGACTTATCCCCAATTGAGCACGTGTGGGATATGATGGGTAGGAGATTGCTCAATTTGCAACGTCCTCCTCAGGCTCTAGAAGCACTTCGAGAGGAGTTGGTGGTTGCCTGGAGTGAGATACCACAGGAGCACATTGACCACCTGATCAGAAGCATGCCTAGGCGCGTTGGAGAATGCGTAGCACATCAGGGTGCATCCACACATTATTAAAGGTCAAAGGGCTTTAAAGCAGTGAAATCATTTTGAAATTTTTATCATTCACTTATTATGCTTCATTTAGTACTTATACAAAATTTTATTAAAATAAAACCATTCAAACTGGGTGTTCGGATTTATATGTCACTTGGTATATAATGCAGCGATCATATCTATAATGCAGCGATCATATCTCTATATAGCGCCTAAATTTTATGAAATTATACCTAAAGACTTAAAAGATTTACGTTTCGGAAATTGTTTCAAAAGAAATTTAAAAAAGTGGCTACATTCTATATCTAGGACTGAAATTCATAAACTCATAAATACGAACATCAACTAAATACATAATCTACTGTTGCTAATTTTTGTCCTTTTTTGTCATTTGCATTCTACAGTTTCAACTTAAATTTATTGGTCCATGTACAGGCGATGCCTTCTATTGGGCCTGTTTTGTTTTTATATTTATTTACTCATATTGTTTGTTATCTTTGTACATTGAGTGAATAAATATTATTATTATTATTTTTATTATTATTATTATTTTAAAACATATGTATTTTAAACATTCTTCTACCTATTTTGCTTTCTATTTCAGCACTTGATAGTTTTCTTACAACCCGGATGCCCGAAATTTTGGCATTTTTCTACGAATTTCACAGATTTTCCAATATTATTAGTATTTTCAAAAAGCGCATGGTCGCATCACTTTCTAATTTAAATTTTATAATAAATCACACTGGAAAACAAAACTTATATAAAAATAAATGTGTTACTCTACTGCGCTCATAGATAGTGAGTCGATATCTCATTACAGTTGCATATTGGTTTTTCTTTTCAATATGAGTGCATTTGAGTAACACTTTTATTTATTTTGTATCTCATTGTGTCTTATTAAACAATTACGATAGAAACCATGAGCTTATATAAAAATACTAATTTATATATTTAAAATTTTGGCCAGAAAATGACAAACTTTGAGCTTTTAAAACCATCAACTCTAAACTGGCGGTGTTCCCAGGGCCGAAAACCGCCCATCGTTAATCTAGGTAGAGAATATCCCATTATGGTACTTTTATCTAGTGTTTGAAAAATAATATATTTATTAGATTTCTGGCAAGCCCCCAATTTGGACAGGCGACGAATAGTCCATAAAATAAACGCATGCCGTGACCATCTAGTAAATGAACTCTTGTCAATCGCAACTATTGCCAACACTTCTTTTTCAAGTTCAATTTCATGGTCTAAAATCGCATTCTAAATCGATTGTCTTCATTTATAGAGGATGACGTGATGTAATGATTTGCTTAAGTATTTAGATCAGTGATTTGAATCTGTAGGCTGCATTCTAACCTTGGTTGCTCAGGTGGGAGTTATTCATAACCTTATGGATATATTATCTCGCTCTGAAAGCGCATTATCAAATATGATATGTATATTTGGATTACGAAACTCTAACAAGGTGAAAACTATATTGTAAATAATAATACACCCATTAATAAGTTAAGTTGCCCACGAATCCGCAAGTATAGTAGCAGTTACAAGATCTTAGAAAATGTTATTAATTACGCACTAAAAACAATGTTAGTTGACAAAGAGTAGATAAACATATTTTTGGAACTCAGATCTTCCTTATCTATGAATTCAGAACCTGATATTTGTATTTGCATTTGAATTCAATTTTCCAGATGGTTACAAGTCAAGAACATGGAAATATGCGTGCAAGGGTACAGAATCTCTAAATGAAAAATCTTTGATTGGACATTTTTTGATGTTGAATCATGGTCACAATTTAAAAAAGAAATGTTTTCTTGAGTCAAGAGGTCTTTTTTGTGTGGATATAACAAAATACACTTTTAAGACTCTGTCCTATGCTAACAGCTAATGAACACGAATGTCACATGATCGGTATTTACTGTGGCTCGTACCATCAGGGGTGCGTTTTTAAATCACTTGGTAATGCAATACCGTACACAGTGATGGAATGTAGATTGACAGACGAGATTTTACGCTGGAGTACTAGCTATATCTTTAGAGCGCCTAAATTATTACAGTGCCATGTAATCACACTTAATGACAGTCCACTGATTTCTAACCACGTTTTCTGCGACTATTTTTCATCATAAGAATCTCTATAGATACAAGGTAGCCTATTTATCTTCAAAAATAGATATTCTTCCCCTTTGATAATCAAATGAAGTAAACAAATGATGAACCATGACAATAACAAGTGACAATACTCTTATTCCAAAGGTTTTGGGCACGGTAAGAAAAGCGCGCATTTAACAGGTATGTCAAACAATTACGAACGCTGAAATTGTTAAAGAGTAGTACAAAGTAAACTCTCTAATAATTTACAAACGCAGCCCAGTATAATTCTATTAGTGACAGTGAATTTCTACATAATAATAACACACGAAAATCCTTTGAACTTGCCTGAGAGGAGAGAAACTATTTCGTCTAAGTGAAATCCTAGCCAAAGCATTAATTACTTAGGCAAGAGCATATATCCCAGAAGGAGAATATGTGAGAGGAATCAAGATAGAAAACATGGTATTATGTGCTCTGGGATTCTATGCAACATTCTTGTACCATACGAGTATAGGGGAAGAATTTAACCTTGGTGTGAGATTGTATATGCATCTCACAACATACATAATAGATGCTAGATAATAAGTGAACCGAAACTAATTTCGAATCTGACCTATTATCTTCTTCCCTTACATTGACAAAATATCAAGGTCTGTCGCATGCCCATCGAAAACTGTCAAAATTCAGTGGTATGTTTCGATTATCTATTCGATCGATTATCGTGAACAAATCAGTCGACTCTATTGTCGATTCTTCGACTTGACCAGTCGAGTAACGTGTTCTCTGTGCAGAGATCACACAGCGCAACATCATGAACATAAATGTCCCTGTTGTTTTTCAGAAACCACACCCTGTGTTTTGGAAATCGTGCTTTTTACATTTCTATGAAATTTTCCCCATAAACCTTTTTGCTGACTCACGGTAAAAAATCAGAACAAGATATGAACTTGCGAGATCCAGATTATTGATCATTGGCTTATATAGACAAGTGTCCATTGGGAAGCTATTTTTGTGCTAAGTTCAGCCTACTGTAGTGTTTCAGAAGCTATATCAACGAAAGGCCAACAACTGCAACTGCAAGCATCCTAGATATTTCAGCACTTTATTGCATAAATACAAATCAAGAAATACAAACGAAACACTCAAGCCCGATCTACAAACCTAAACTTCAGCGGCTTAGTTGGTTGAGCTAACATTTCACTTGAGCTGGTTATATCGCCATAATTATACTCGATTTTGAAATTCTTGCACACCTTGTACGTCAGCATTGCTATTTGAACTTCCGCTAACTCCTTGGCTACACAAGACTTTGCACCATATCCAAAGGGCATGGTTGCGAACGCTTGATATTCGTTACCAAATCCTCCGAGTTCATTATCCAGCCATCGTTCAGGTTTGAATCTCGTGGCATCCTCAAAATACTCTTCATTGTAGCTGTTGAGGTGTGACGCGAAGAGAACATGGGTGCCTTTAGGTACTTGGTAGTTGTGAACAACTATATCGTTTGTCAGAACTCTGCTCAGTATCGGAATGGCTGGGTTAAGTCGTAGACACTCTTTCATACAAGCTTGGAGATACGGCATCCTCTTCAAGGTATCCCTATTAGCAGTTGGATTCTTCTTGACTTCACCATATAGCTTTATCTGGCATCGAGGATTCTTAGCTAGATGGTAGAGCAAGAATCCAACGGTATGAGCAGTCGCATTTGTGCCGATAAGGAACATATCGAGCATAACAGTCATGACATCTTGGTACTTGGTGTTATGCTTCAAGACGAGACTCTCTAGCATCGATGCACTATCCAGACCAGTCAGTTTATCTTTCTTGTATTTCAAAGATTCAATAGCGTCGGCCACGTGTTTATCCAGCACATTCTCAACCATGTCACAATGTTTCACCAAGGACTTCCATGCAGGAGTTTCTATGAATTTCCACACATGAAGGCCATATTCGCACTTTCTGATTGCCTGTGTCGCCCCAGTTAGTCCTTGTAGTATAACACCTGCATCGGAGGTAGGACTTAACCCATAAGTATCCAAAAAACCGAATCTTTTATTCAGAGTGACAGAGCATAGTGACTCTAAAGACCATTTATGGATCTCCTTCAAGAAGTCATTGGGCATTTCTTCTTGTGGATTTCTTAGAACCTTGATCCTCTCCACAAAATCATCACAGATTCTATCGATGGTTTCATATTGCTTGACTATTGAATCTTTCAGCTGTTCCTCCATTGCTTTGCGGAGTCTCTCCCAGTCAGCACCATACATAAAAAATGGTCCAATTTTCTGATATTTGCGACAATCCAGCCTATACTTCTGCATCGATTCCAAACATGATCTGATCGGGTACTGACCTTCACTCTGAAATACAGCGCAGGCATGCTCAGGTCTGCTTAAAAGTACCACGTCACTTCCAAAAGCTCCATGAAGCCTAACCACAGGACCATATACTCTGAAGAACTTCTTGAAGAAATACGGGTTGCCACCCCAACTCAGCAAGTCACCAAAGAACCTTCCTCCACTCAGAAGATACTGGATGATACGTACGGTGACTTCTGAACCCATGACTGGTATCATACTCCAAAACTTGTTGATCATTCTCAAAGTAAGAGGTCCGGGAATTTCGTCGTAGGAGAACATGTTGTGACTGATGATTGGAGCCGTCTTCTTAGCATCTAAATAGGTATTCACATGAATAGTCGTTGCCTTAGGAGGTTCTCTGGTAACTTCAGCTTGCGGCTTTTTGATCACTGGGGCATTGGCTGTTACCGTCTTCGCTGAACACATCGATTTCTGGAGCACCGGTAAATATGATCTATAGAGACTATTTAAAATTGCACGCCTCTCAAAAATCACCTTCAGCTGCCACATATTTGGACTGATTTTTGCAAAAAGGTCGTTGAAACGGGTAAAGGGCCGACTAATGACAAAGTAACTGACATCAAATGTCAAACTGACAATGTAATGATCCAGTTGTTTTCACCAAATTATCATAAAATATACTGAGTACGAGTTTGACTTGACAGCTTAGAAAAGTAGAAAATAAAATACATTTAGTAGATTTAAGGTTAGGAACAGCTGACAAATGAGGCCACAGTTGATCCCACATAAAACAGATTCCACCACATATACAGTGGTCCAAGCAGTGGCGGCTCGTGGCAAAACAAAACAGGTGTTCTGCAAATCCGAACTTGACTATTTTTTATACGTCAGTTCGATCCTGCGCTCCTTCTTGGCAGCAAATTTGTCGATCACCTTCCCGTTGAAATTTTCCATGGTCGAAATAAATTCCTTTTCAATGGACAGCATCGACAACGCTGTAAGGCGATCCTGGGTCATAGTATTACGAATAAAAGTCTTGATTCTTTTCAATGTTGAGAAATTTCGCTCAGCCTCTGATGTTGACATAGGAGTTGTAACAATAATTTCTAATAGCTTTTTTGTTTCTTTTAATGTTTCCTCCAACCTTTTTTGTATAAAAAATTTCAAAAGAGACAGAGTTCCATGTAAATCTCGGCAATCATTCCTTGCATAAATAACAGACAACTCTGTCTTTAATCGCCTTTTTTCGAATTCGGGATAAGCCAAGCAGGGGGTTCCTTTAAATATTGAAGCATTTTTTATGTGTTCGCTTAAGGTTGTATCAAGCTCAGCACAAAAGTTAATCAGTCTACGAAATATTCCAGGCTTTTGGGAGCTCTCGGTGTCGTCGTGGCCCCGTAGCGCCAATTCAAATGCTCCGCAAAATTTTATACCGAGCACCGACCGACCAATCAGATATCGTACTTCGCATTAGACATGTACGGATCTGTATAACTTGCAGCACATGCTTATGCTTATATCGCGCATTTGTTTTTGTAGAGAGAGACGAAAGCAAGCGCGTGCGGCTTGTGTCGAAGTAGTGCACAGACCCTTTACAAGTGGCCCATGAATAATGTTACGCTGCGGTCGCGACGAAAATGACAAGTACACAATTGGTCGATTATACTGCTTTCTCAATACAAAACAGACTCGACGCTGTGTCTTGCGGGGGCAGCGTTGCCGGTATTGTTTCTATTTGGGTGATAACATGGAAAATAAATAATGATCAAATTACTACTGCTTTTTTCTGTTAAGACAAAAGTTTTGAAAAGTGTTGGCAGTTCTGCAGCTCTGCAGAACTTAGAAAGTATTGGAGAACTTCATTTTTTTTCGTGTATCTCAATAACGAAAAGATGAATTTTTTGTTTCCGTATTTATTTGAAAACACAAAAGATTAATTTTTTATGGCGATACTTTGATCATATCACAAATAATACAAGAATAGTAATAGGAAATATGAGTTCTCGATGTAAAAAAAATATTGGCACACTAGAAAAAAACAAACAAGTGCATAGGCTTTAGCAAAATTTGTTTACACGAAAAACCATGTCCCCCATTTCCGTCGATCTATCTGTGTCTGCCTGTAGTCTATTCTTATAACCACTTATAACTTGGGAAGTATCTCTTGGATTTCGATGGAACTTCCACACAGCGTTACTAATATGTCAACGAGGCAAAAGCTGTCTCAAATTCGGTCCCGTGGTAACAGGTCTAGGGGCAAACACACGAAAAATATAAAAATCGCTCAAACAGAGGCCCCTGATCATTTTCAGAAAAAAATGTGTAGGTGTTGTCAATTGCGGGCTGAGGGTGGTTAACAATTGTTGAAATTTTTGATGAAATATTAGTAACCGAGATAATGTTAACGTATGTAGTATGTCATAACATGATTTGAAGAGTATCCCACCAGTATAAGTGGCCTGAAAATTCGAAATGCTTTGTTTCTCAGCAAGGATACATTTTAGGTTCTAGGTATATTTTGTCGGAAGGATAGGTAATCTAGAAATATTGTCACTCTCTTTAATCACGTTGTATATCGATCTATTTGAAAACAAGGAGACAAAATCAAAAATATTAAACTGACACTTTTTTGTTAACGTTGACTAATAATTCTATTATATACTAAGTGACATATAAATCCGAACACCCAGTTTAAATGGTTTTATTTTAATAAAAGTTGGTGAATGTATTTATCGTACTGTAAATAACAAGTGAAAAAATGTTCAGCCTGATCAGTTGGACATTCCGGTTTTTATACTGCTTTTTTTTTAATTCGCTCTAAAAATGAATATTTCAGTCGCGGTAAAGAATCAACATTGGCGGATTTTGGTTCTTGACATCCTTTACGATCGGTTACGATGCCTAGAGTACGGAGACCTGTACGATTTCGTCAACTTAGTGAGTTTGATAGGGGCCGTATGGCGGGACTTCGGGAAGCTGCACCTTCTTTTCGGGCAATTGCAGTTAGAGTGCAAGGAAGTGTAGACACTGTGGTTAGGTGTTGTCAGGCATGGCTTCGAGAAGGCCGTATGCAAAGAGCAAGAGGCACTGGACGCCGCCGTAGAACAACAGACCGTGAAGATCGCCGCCTAAGATTATTGGCGTTAAGGGACCGTTTCTCCACTACCAGGTCCATTGCAAACGAATGGTTTGCAGAACACAGAAGTCCTATTGGCATGCGAAGTGTTTACCGACGAATGAGAAGTTTTGGCTTGTTTTCATACCGGCCACACTGGGTCCTCCCTTTAACTCGAGAACACCGACGTAATCGCCTTGAGTGGTGCAGACAACGGTCACTCTGGGATCAGGAATGGAACAGTATTGTCTTTAGTGACGTGTCTCGATTTTGGTTAGGCATGCACGATGGTCGTGCCAGGGTTAGAAGGCGACGTGGTGAAAGGAGGAATCCACAGTTTTTTGTTGAAAGACATGTTCATCACACTGTTGGAGTTATGGTTTGGGGTGCTATAGCTTATGGTTCCAGGTCACCTTTAATCTTCATCAGAGGTAACATGAACGCGCAGCGTTATATCCACGAAGTTCTAGAACCCCATCTTTTACCCTATCTTGAAACCCTGGCAGATCCAACTTTCCAACAAGATAATGCCCGGCCACATGTTACAAGGGTCACAATAGACTTCTTTCAACATAATGATGTCACATTGTTACAATGGCAACCAAGATCTCCCGACTTATCCCCAATTGAGCATGTGTGGGATATGATGGGTAGGAGATTGCTCAATTTGTAACGTCCTCCTCAGACTCTAGAAGCACTTCGAGAGGAGTTGGTGGTTGCCTGGAATGAGATACCACAGGAGGACATTGACCACCTGATCAGAAGCATGCCTAGGCGCGTTGGAGAATGCGTAGCACATCAGGGTGAATCCACACATTATTAAAGGTCAAAGGGCTTAAAAGCAGTGCAATCATCTTGAAATTTTTATCATTTACTTATTATGCTTCATTAAGTACTTATACAAAATTTTATTAAAATAAAACCATTTAAACTGGGTGTTCGGATTTATATGTCACTTAGTATAGATGAAAGTGCACGTGTCAACCTTTCCCACGTAAACCACAAGTATTCCATGAAATGACGTTTAAAACGTTAAAAGGACCGGTAATGTCACATTGAAATTAATTGACGTGACTCGAGACACAATCTGGAAAAATGTGGAAAAACAGGGTACTTGCGCTAGTGCAACAGTCCAAGAACTTTAGTTTCAGCACACGAAGAAACTTACAGCAGGCCACAGCAGTCGAAATCAAGGATTCAAAGAAAACCAATCTGCTAGATACAAATGTATATCTCTCTGTGACGAAGCCAAGTACGGTACAACCACTTCAAGGTACGCAAGCTGTTGCTTATGACGATATTCCAGGACCTTTAACATTGAAAGTAGTAGCTAAGTTCTGGGAAATCATTCCAAATGTGGGCACCGAAATGACAATTAGCTTACTTTATAGCCTGATGTCCGGTAGCTTTGGCGTTAACAGCAAAAGTGTGCTTAAGAAGTTCTTCGATCGCTACGGACCTATTGTCAAGCTGCACGGAGCAATGGGCAGAGATGTTGTTCTGCTTAGCAGACCAGAACATGCTAGGATTATTCTGGACCAGGAAAATAATACGCTCTTTCGCAGCTGTATGGACTCTTTAGACAAGTACTGCAGAGAATTCAGGGTTTGTAAGTACATCGAACCCTTTTCTATCACTGGAGTTGATTGGGATACTATCATAAGGACTATTGAAGAACCTACGGAAGCCACTGTTTTCAAGCACCAACGTAGAGTCGAAGAAATATGCGACGATTTTATACAAAGAATGCTGATGGTCCGGAATACACAAGAGGAGGTGCCGAACGATTTCAAAACGGAAATTCTCAAATGGTCTCTGGAATGCCTCTCCCACGTGACTCTAAACAAAAATTTGGGCTTTCTGAATCCGGAAGGTGTGAATATAACGTCTGATGGTGGAAGACTCCTTACTAGCATAAGCACGACCAGGGATGCATTGAGGAGATGCGAGCATGGAGTTCATTTGTGGAGATTCCTTGAAACTCCCTCGTGGAAGTCGCTGGTGAACAACTGCCACGATATTGATGATATTCTCTTCAAATACCTTGAGAATGCCATCAACTGTATTCGCGACAAGAAAATGAAAAATGCTAACTTCAAAGAAGCACCAACCATAGAATACATGCTACTCAAAGAAAAACTTCTGCCTGATGACGTCATGACTATACTTTTAGATATGTTTCTAGTAGGTGCTAGTGCTACAACGCACACCGTCCAACAGCTGTTGTATCACCTGTCAAAAAATACTCGTTGTCAGATTAAAGTACACGAAGAAATCTCTAAGCATTCCATTGATACCGATATGAGAAAACTGCCGTATCTGCAAGCGTGCATCAAGGAATGCCAGAGAATAGATCCTCCAATCTCGATAATGAATAGAGTATTGAGCAATGACGTTATCATTCACCACTACCGTATACCAAAAGGCACCCCAGTCCTCTTTGCTACGCATCTCAACAACTTCAGAGAAGAATACTTTGAAGATGCCCACAAGTTCAAGCCTGAACGATGGATATCCAGCGATCTAAGTAGCGAGTACCAGGGCTATGCAACAATTCCATTTGGGTACGGACCGAAGTCTTGCATGGCAAAAGAGTTAGCTGAAATGGAGATAGGGATGCTGTTGTACCAGATCTACAAGAGGTTCAGGGTCGAATATAACTATGGCGAGCTGAAAGGATCGAAGGACTTGTTCAGTTCACCGTCTAGGCCACTGAAGTTCAGGTTCGTCGAGAGAAAATATTAAAACGCCTTTATTAATTTCTGTAGAGGTTGTTAATCGGATGTATTCTTTTGAAATAAAGCAAAAAAGTATAATTTTCAATATTTGTACATTTATAATTCACTACACAGGCTAGACAAAATTTTATTTGAAAAATGTTATACGAGGTGTTCAAGATATGGGGCAAAACATCAAGCAGTAATCTTAGGCAATGTATCTAGGCTCTACTTTGAAATGGCGTTCCATTTCAAAGATATAAGAAAATTTTAAGTAGAGCCTCAGTCTCAAAAACTGTCAAGCGTGAATATTTCATTTTCTCAGTCTCTGAATCGCAAGACTACATTCTCCAACACACGCTGCCAAAATACTTGGAATACACCAGGAAAATTAGCTTGGAGTTGGATTCAGCAATTGCTTTTTATACGGTACTGTTAAACAGGTCGAGGAGAAGTTCTCGTATGGTCTTTAAACGTTAATTGCCTCTTGTATGTAAAGCTATCACAACACTAGTGGAAAATCTGAGGAACTGGATAACTACTAAATAAAACTGACCCTAGTATAACTGAAAGTTCGTCATCCTATGAGCAAATGAATGGAGCCTTTCAAACCAGCTGGACGGCACTTATATAGTTTTTCTAAATCAAAAAATGTTCAGAATGTCATGGGAGAAGAAAACGGCAAGATTACGAACATTTTACTTATACAAGCCCCTCCCCACTTCAGTTGGCCCAACTATTGAAATCTTAATTTTTTCTTATCAAACACAAATAATAAAAATGTAGCAGGGTGTTATAGTTTTAAAATATTAACAATGACTATTTTGATAATATATAGTAGAAAACACCAACTTTATCACTCCCTAATCAAATTTGCAGCATAAAAATAACACATGTTTTAATAATCGTGAAAAACAGGCGTGCCAATTATTTACAATTAAGTGCTCTGTGGAGTGACGCTGTTAGAAGGAGAGTTTCGAGGTCCACAACTAATAGAGAGGCCCACAACCTGGAATTTAGCACATGCAAGGTAAGTTTTGTTATAAAAAAAAAGTGAAGTAAAAACCCTAATGTTGCACAACTTGTTTACAGGCCAAAGAAAAGCCACTATTAACTCCACTGCAAAAGAAAAATCGGCTTAGATGGGCTAAAGAACATAGACAATGGACACCTCAACAATGGTGTGCAATACAATGGAGTGATGAGGCTCGATTCGAAGTTTGTGTAGGTGACAGTCGCAGTAGAGTTATTCGCAAAAAAATTAAGCATTCCATGTTGACTGTCTGGAGAGAAAAGTGAAATTTCCAGCATTCATTATAGTCTGGGGCAGTATGTCATCAAAAGGAGTGGGTAAACTTCATTTTATTGATGGAAATGTGGATACAAACAAATATTTGACAATTTTAGAAGAATCGCTTTTACCAGTGATGGAAGAATGTTTGACATCCGGCCAAGATTTTGTGTTTCAGCAAGATGGTGCAGCGTGTCATACCTCAAAAAAGGCTATAAAATGGATGGAAGAAAATAATGAACCACCTTTGAAATGGATTTCTAGCAGCCCAGATCAGTCACCTATTGAAACTTTGTGGCACGAGATGAAAAAGGTTCTACGACAACATCCTGCTCGTACAATCACCGAACTGAGACAATAGCTTCAAGAAATAAGGGATTGTCTTACACCAAATTTTAGCCAAAACTTGGTTAACACTATGTCCCAAAGAATTTCAACCGTAATAAAAAATAAAGGTGATGTTACCCAATGGTAATCTTTCAATTGTTGCTTTGTTAACTTCGCGCATTTATTCGCACATTGTTTATTTGTTCAGATGTTCTATTAGTTATAGGTCTAAGTGATTTCAAATATGTATTCTTTACGACTAGAGTGTATCTAAAATGTTTTTGAGAAAATAAATTGTTTCGTCATGTTTAGTTTATGAAGGCATATTTTGGTACAAATCTTGAAGTGGACCAACTGAAGTGGGAAGGGGCTCGTACAGTGGACGCAGCCGGAAATGTCCATTAATGGAGTAGTTTTATACCTAGTTCCATATTTGCAATTATTTGGGATAGGAACGATTTCTGCAATTCAATGATCCAAACGAGCGTTTTTAGCTGTAAACTTTACCACCAACTTTTTAAAGTTGTTCCGCTACTTTGACTTAAATAGTTAAATATTGTATTACAAATCTGGAGAACAAACAATTTTTAATAAAAATGTTTTACTCATATTCCATGTGGGCCTTACCTTGCTAACCATATTACATCCCTCCATATACTATTTCACAACCCAGTGCATATCATTGATCCTGGTATGAAGACATGCATGGAAAGATGTCAAAATATGCGTTAACAAGTTATTCCAATGTTTTTTGCTTGCGCTGAAAGAACATAAGGTATTGGCTACCAAAGATAGCATCGAGCCGTTTTTGATGAAGTGAAAGATCGTATCGTGTATTTAAAATGGAAAATTGCAAATATAATTGCGTGGGAAGTGAATAATTCGTGAATAATTCCAGTCGCCAAAAGTGAATGTGATTAGAATAAATGCCGAAGAAAAAATGTCTCCAAGCGACTTCCTGATTCCTCACCTACAACCACAGTAACACAATTCGGCATGACGAATCACCTTCGCACGTACTGTCTCGCATAAACTAATGGGCCCGTATAACAAAAGAACAAATTAATCGCTGGTAAAATTGTTGACGTACATTGTATGATTAATTAGGTGGCTATTCTAAAAAAGAGCACAATTGCAGTACACAATAGGAATTGATACGATCTTTTCTGCCATAGTATGCGTAAGTATGTTCTGCGATGATTAGTGTAATAATTATATTGTACATATGTACAATCTGCGAATATTACACGGACAATTTTTGGCCTACTCAAAGGTTGAAATTTCTTCAAAATAAAGTGATCTTGAAATATTCGTCAGGATCCTGTAGGGGAAAGTTTTGACGTAAGCTTAGATGCTTAACAACTTCAAAAATTGTAATTTTCCACGTAGTTTTCAAGCCTTTAAGAAACCCATTGTAATGGTTCTTCAGACAAAATAGCTCATAACCTGAAAACGCTTAGCTTTAGAGAAAAACTCAACATCGCCTTTTAGTTCAGATTACCCCTAAAAATTTAAAAACTGATCTTAGCAAAAAAAATGTTTTTATAGTTTATTCACTGATAATGTTCGAACAAGTTTTGACGCAGTTTTGAGCCTAGCAACGTTAGAAAATAATTTTTATGGTCATGCAAAAGACCGAATCAAAATATTGTTATATTGATTTCGGGGCATCTCGGCCTTCGCGAGGGGTACGCCCAGGGTTGCCATCCGTCCGGGTTTTTTAGATTACGGCCAATTTCTTCCGTGTCCAGCCTGCCCGACTTTTGTTAGGCTGTTTAGTTTAGTATTCGAATAATCTTTTCAACGGGATGTTGAGAGAATACAACAAATAAAGTCCGGCTTTGAGGGCCGTTTCCAAAATATACATAAATTCTCAGAAATACTACACGCGGAATAAATTCACAAAAATATTCATATCTTACACCACATGTATCAACCTCAGTGCATGCCAAGGTTGGTGCATAGTGAAATTTGCAAAAATAGTTTAACATCCTCTTCTTCTTCCTACTTTATTAATAGGCTGTTTTACTTCGGTTTTTAGCCTCAATTGATGTTGTCTGACCACCTTTTCCTCGGTCGTCCCGTTGTTCTTCTTCCATTTGGCGATTTGTCTCTTGCTATTCGTATTGTTCTATTTTCTGTCATTCTTTCTATGCGTTGATTCCATTCTATTTTTCTTCTTTTTGTCCACAGGTTTATTTCCTCTATACCACATCCCGCTCGAATTTCCTCACTTCTTACTCTGTCTCTTAGAGTTTGGTTGTTATTTTTCATAAGACTTTCATTTCTGCTGTTTCCAATAATCTTTGTGTTTTCGCCGTATCTGCTCTTGTTTCCGCTGGGTACGTCATTATCGGTCGTATTGTTGATTTTATACAGTGGACCTCCGGTAATCCGACAAACATTATGCAGGGCAGCATCGGACTATCGAACTTGTCGGATTATAGAGCCCTGCCTAAGACCCCCTAGAGTCCGGAATTTTTTACAAAAGAGTACCTTGTAATCCGACAAATTACATATCCAAAGGTAAGATTATATATGTTATGTATATGTATGTATGTACTTTGAAGTACAAATCATACATAGTTTATGTATGTCGAATTTAGTAAATTAAATAACAATATTAATCAAAATCACTAACGAATTTATCAAATTATGAGGCTTGGAAATATTCATCAATCTTTTTTTGTTTAAGGTTGTTATAACGCGAGATGAGAGCTTTGTACCTCAGTCTTCTCAAAAGTAAAAGTTCGTTGTATGTTGTACCATTCTCTTAGGCGTTAATTGCGTCTTGTGCTGTGACTTGTGGAGCAGTTGCAATTACGTCGTCGTTATTTTCCTGATTGTTCATTGTATAATTAGAAACCTCTTTTATAATCTCTTCTTCAGACCTTTCATGAAAAACATTTTCCACTTTATCCATTCCACGGCACCAGATTTCCAAATCTTCCGGACTTATCTGTGTTTCAGTAGCGACTTGTTCTATAACTTCCGTAACACTGATTTGTGGAACGTTGCTAGGAGTGATGACAATATCTGGCCACAACTTTTTCCCAGACGATTTAATAGTTGATGACAGAAACGCATTCCACGACTGACAAAGAGCAAAAACCAAGTCATTCATACTAAATTCTTTTAAAGTTTTTTCTATTGGTTGGTCTTTTGATACGGCTCTCAGAAATAGGTTTTTCTTATAGTCTTGCTTGACAAACTGAATGATATCCTGGTCCATTGGTTGAATCAGTGCAGTGCAATTTGGCGGAAGAAACTTCGTAGTGATGCATTTATCCTCAGTTGTTAGTTCTTCTTCGGTCGGATGACCGGGAGCGTTATCAAGAAGCAACAACGCTTTTTGAGGAAAATTATGATCTTTTAACCATTTTCCAACTTCAGGTACGAAGCATTCGTCA